ACTGCGGGCCTCGTCGAACGGACCGTAATTACGTCGTGCGCGCTCCGGGAACGTCAACTTGATCGGTCCGATCGTAACGATCCGCGAGGTAAGGCGGCCGATACACGTAGAATCGAAAACAACATCGAGCACACGACCTAACCGCAATGGCTCGCGTACACACCGTCCCTTTACACGTGACGTACTTCTGGAACCGCCGTCCCGTCCGGGTTGATTAATTGCTGTGTTCCTCCAAAATAATATATATATATATATATATTAATACTCTTGTGTACCAGCGCGCACGGGTGGTGTGGGTGGGTACACGTGGCGTGTTCGGCGTTTCGTTTAATTTCGCTTTTATAATGCCGAATAAATGGAAACGCATTTTTCCCGAGCCTCCGCTGCTCCGTCCCCGTGAGCGGCTTGATTAATGACCGTAAAGGAGCCATCTCGAAAAACGGTCGTTTGCGCGAGCGGCCCGAAGGAAAACGCGTACCGAGATCCGAAACGTCTTGTGTACACGATATTAATACACGTATTACGATTGTGAAAAATGCGCCGAGCCGACCGCGACGCGAACTATTCGTACACACTGGACGGCAGTGGTGCGCGGGACAGGTTAGGGGATATGTGCCCTCCGTTGTTTTGGGAGGTTTTTTTTTTGTAAATCGACTCTTTGAAATCAATTATTATTATTATTATTATTATTATTATTTTTTGATTTTTCCCGTTTTTGACGCGTACGTTTTTCGCTCTTTTACGTTGCTCCGGTACAATAGCACGTGTTATAACGTTGTACGGAGAGAGGCTTTTGTACATTATCGTTTAGATGCGCGCGAACGGCTCGGATTCGTCGCACGGTGTCGCGTTCAGGAGACTCTTGACTCTTGAAGCACGGTTCACGATCTTGTCGCTGCGAGCTAAAGCGATCGGTAACGCGTAGAAGTCCACGTATCGGATGTCAGACGCCGCCGCCGGTATTATACTCGCGACTGGTCTGTATGTTTGACTTCGCATCTAACTTCCAAGTGCGTACGTATCTGCAACGAAGCGGACCTCGTGCCCGGACCGTTTCAAACGAACACGTCCGTTGTTGTTGACGCCGCGCGCAAGTACATTGCCGGGTACACGACGTTGTTTCTCCGTGTTTTCGTTTAGAGATAGAGAGAGAGAGAAAGAGAGAGAGAGAGAGTGAAAAAAAAGAAAATTAACGATTTAATGATAAGCCTGTTCGTGTGTTTAATGTCTACTACACCGCAGCCCGGACAACATAATAGCATCAATATTTACAGGGCGTAGAACGTTAGTTTCGTGTAGGCACTGAAGTTGGTCAAAATTAGTTTAGGGGTTCGTTCCGATTTATTATCATATTAAATTTCATTAAAACTCTTCTCGGAAACTTTACACCAAGAACATATAATTCATAGTTGTCACGTATATATGTATAATATGAAAGGTGCGTTTACGTGTCCGGACAATGTTGTGAAATATTTGAAAAGCCAACGGAGAAAACGTCGGCGTTTTAAATCTATACATTAAACCAACATCCGATGGCCATGTATACGACGTTTCGTTTTATTACGTATTAATTAATAGTGCGCTGCGGTTTAATGACATTGCGTTCTAAGGTTTCTCGGCTCGACAAACAATATTTATCATTTTGTTCTCTTTACGTCGTACCATTATGTAATTTGTATAGGAAAAACATTACTCTTCTAACGGTTTATCGGATTAATTATTAATTGCTTACTACGTTACCGTTCGGGTTAACAAGAAACATGCGTAGATTTATTTTTAATTAACGACGAGTATCGAGCATTGAGCGACGGGCGGATTATGATTTAAATAATTAATGAACGAAAGTCGAAAAAAATAATACGCGTCACCTGGTATCGTGCGGCACCAGCGCACAGCTGGGGTTTACAACATGCCCGATCGGTATGACCACAAAAACAAAAATAAAAATTTGTTCAATTATTATCACGTGAAACACGATCGAGTAAAATATACCTATTTTTTAACGCGGCACATTCGCCTTAATCGTAATAGTGTGCATGCGAAGCAACTGAAACATATCGAATTGTATAGCTCAATCTATATGGGCGATGGGGGGGGGGGGGGCAAAAACACGTTAAAATAATAAACACTTTCCTGCGGTTTCAAACCTTAAATATTTGCATGTCTCCGTCCCGAACGCGGTACTGTTTTTAGTAGATTTCACACGTCCTATATTACCTAATAACTTTATTACGTAAATAATAACACGATGTGCTGCCGTCGTATAAAGGTTGGAAGCGGTAATTTTCAAGGGTTGCGTGTAGGAAACGTAGCAGCACGTTTGTGTGAAAAACAAATGATTATTAGTGTTAGCGTGCGCGCTACATTACTTTACGACTCTCTCTCTCTCTCTCTCTCTCTCTCTCTCTCTCTATACATAGAGGTACGCGGAAAATATCGAAAAACCCAAAAGAACGAATTCGACTGTGGGTTCGACAACTCATTCCGGAAACGTAATAGAGTTGTCTGCGCAGTTGTCCCTGTTTATCTTTGTAGATTTGTGTGCGGTGGGAGTACGGATTTTTAAATTTATGCGTTCCGGTCAACGCGGTACATAAATAGTATATTTTCCAAAACAAACAAGGAAAATCTGCGCTGTAACGGAATGAAAAACGACTCCTGGAAAAGAAGCTCAAGAGCTTAGTATATATATATTTTTTAAATCTAAACGCTTATGTTGGCCGTATTTAATTTATTCGGAAAAAACAAAGACATTTCCTTGTAACGATTCTATCAAACTTACGGCGTTCCTTCGTCATACTGTAATGTTCATTCGAATCACATGCACACGCGTATATCGCTTACTGTTCGTCGCAACATAACTTAAAAAACACCGTCCGATTAATAAGCGTTGAGCGCAACACATTTTCCTAGAGAATCGCAAAAATGTTTACTCTCTCGGAAGCCATATGAATTCTATTTTTTGTCGAACTAATTCCTATACGATCGACGGAAATATTTGTGAAAATCGGACTGTTAAATGTGGTATGTAAAAAACGAAATACGCGAAGTTTGAAATCGCAAAATGTTCTGAAAAATGAAATCACTCGATACTTTTCAATTAAATCTCCACGATACCTGTACCGTATTGTCGCATTGTGTTATTGGAAAAAGCGGACTGCAATGGAAAAGGCCAGGAAACGGTTGGGCACGGGTATTATAACGGTTCGCTGGTCGTATTGCTCGTGGGGGTTGATGCGAGAAAAACGAAAATTCGGTCGATATCACCATTAACTGTTTTACTGTAACTTTGGTCGCATTACATTGTTTAATTACTATGATTACGAAACGCTGATCGATTAATAATTGACAACGCGACGCTATTGAATCGATTTCAATCAGATGCTGTTTGAAACGCGTTTTAGACGATGATCAGAACGAACGTTGCAACGAGATACGTACATTTTTCCTTCGATTGCTCTAGAACGCATTTTAACATGTCTGCAGTACCTTGTTCACGGAGCAAACACCATCCATGGATTCATTCCGTTGGATATTGAAAATAATTTTTCATTCTGTATATTTCATTGTTCAGTTAAATATCTAATAAACACATTTTATACACAGCGAACGAAACCGCGATAAATGGATTAAATATTTCTACGTCTATAATACTTAACCATAATACGATTAAAAATATTAAACGCAGGCTATAAATCACGATTGGAGTAAAACACTTCTACAGAATTCGAAATATTTAAAAAATTTTAGGAACTGAAAACCTCATTGGTGTTGCATAAGTTATGAAATAAATCTATAATTCTATCTATAATCTATAATATATTGTTTCTGATTATACGAAATACATATGTAATTGCCAGAATTTATTAGTCCTAAGAATAATCACATTACTCTCATTACAATATCTATAGTTTCTTATTTTCATCTGAACACGAAATAAACTTACTTTTATACATATTCGGATTACTGGTATTTTTGTAGTTTATTTTATATTATATATAGTTTTTTTATTTTATGTTAAATGCATTTCTAAAGCAATGTAAATACATTTTTATAGGTTTTACGGTATCAGAGGACTAATATAGTATAAAATCATTTGAAATTTAAACCATTTTTTTCTTTTTTTTTGGTGTTAAGTATTGTCGGAACGGAGAGACTAGTTCAATATTATTATATATACATCACCACTTACTCGTTTTTCCCGCATAATGCATAATGCAGATATTGTACTGCACGGATTTTAATATTTGCAAAAAAAATTAAAGCTGAAATCAATACGTCGTTTATACACTAGACTTTAATGGATGAGAAATAGAAAGAGACTAATAACTGGAGGATTTTGCATTTGATCAGCGTAGATATACATAGATTATTTTTGTAAAACGTTTTTCATATTTCCTAGATCACTAGAGTAAAACGTAATGTTTACTAAGCTTTTAGTAGTCGGATACGTATGAACGCATACAGTACAATACCAATACCATATTGTGCGGGTTATAGATGTGGAGCACGCGGTGCATCAATTACTGTATTCGGGGTTGATGGCGCGCGGGAGAATCGAGGAGTTTGTCGGTGACCTGGAAGTATGTTTTTTTTCAATCAAACCGCTCGCGCTCGTTATGTAATAATTATACTACGTAGCGACGACGCAGCTGTACCTATATTATTATTATTATTATTATTATTATTGTTATTAAAATACACGCCCACCTATAACGACCTCCGAGTTTCGAGACGGAAAAAAGTACACACATGACCCGAACGCCAAATGGAGGGCACCGAAAAAAAAAAAAAATAAAAACCATCCCCTCCGCTCGGTATACGGATATTATCGTTTAGCGCCCGTCGCAATGTGTGCGAATATTTTCAGAACGATTACTTCAATGCTCGTTTCATGTATAATATTTATTAAGCACCTAGTCGATCGCACGTTCCATGTCATATTCGTTTGTTTATTTGGTTTTTGTTTATTTTACTCGTTTATTTTCATTGTGTTTCAGGCGATCGTTCGGCTACGGCGGACCCGGAGGCGAGAACGTCGGTGTGAACGTCATCGGTAGCCATGGGATTTTAAGATTACTGTTACTGTCGCGCGTACATTGTTTACAAAACTGAACCGATTCCCGGACGAGATCGACGGATTACGAAATATATCACCCAAAATATACACGTGCGCCGAACATCACTCATCTGTTCGTGTCGCACGGTGCATGTTGCATAAATTATTGAAATAGGTCATTTATTTATATACATACGATATTATATAATAATAATACATATATACATATGTATTAACATATGTGTAAAATATATATATATATATATATATATTTATATTCAGATATTTAAAGGAAAAACATAAATTACTATGATTATAATATGTCACGTGAAAATCTTTATACCTATGCGTACCTATGTGTGTGTGTGTATATGTATATGTATGCATTCGAGTTACTAAGTTGTAAACATATTTTCGTATTAAAATGATGAGGATTTTTTTAGATACTCGACGTTTTCATAATTGATTGTCTTACCATCCTATCCTGCACTGCCCAAAAGCGGTGAACTAAATCGTCCGGAATCGCGTCCCGTGCGAAAACTCCGTGGACGATTTTCGTGCTTGTTTCGGTACTTCGTAGAATATATAGAACATTTGCCCGGAACGAATGTTATTACGGTTCGACGACGTGTTATTGTGTTAAGTTTAGACGCACGCGGGTCAGAAATCATGAAACATACGCGATGCGCCACGGACGAAATCGACGACCAGACCGATTTTTTTTTTTACTAAATGTTTACCGACGAGCGAGCGCGTACTGATGTACGGTCAGTGCTCAGGAATCATTTTGAAACACGAGAACGGTGTCGCACAACACTGGGTACCGCGAGGACCGTTTGCGAAATCACCGATTAAGTTAACGATAAGGTCGTATTATATGTGTGCCAATGTTTTTTGTCTTGAGGCAGAACTGAAGCAATGCGCCCCCTAGGTTTTAGGGTTGTTACACTCACAGCTTTTAATAAGTGTAATATGATTCGGAAAAATTTGAAAAATTGTAATTAGGTACTAGCAAAACACGAAATAACATTTCTTAAAATAAGTTAATTATTTAATATTTTTGCGCCCCCCAGCTTCAAGGGCCAAAGGCAAGTGCCTCGCTCGCCTCACCCTAGTTGCGGTTCTGGTTACCACGTATGCTACGTTCGGGGGTGGCATTTGATTTGTTGCGGTCGGTCGTTCGGCAACGGATTGGGTTTTCGTCAACAGGAAGTTAACAATACTTTCTGTAGACGGAACGGCACTTGGGTTCGGGACTCCCGGACAAAACATGCGTTGCTCATCGCGTTGGTTAAATTATACTACGGTTTCGATTTTATGTTAAAACACTACGTATGGTGGTGATCCATGTCATGTTTTATTCGTCATGACGAGACTACAGCGTGATTTGTTTTTTCCATTACAAATTATTGGAAAACATTAACATCCGTCGTCATTTTTTCTCTTTCGATTAAATTTTTATTTTTAGACACAATACAATATCTTACCGGATGCCATAGTAACACGTGCGATGATTGCGCAGTACAATGTTAATAGTTGTGATTTAAAGTAAGTATTGAAGTGCACGTGTTAAGAAATATTCGAATTAGCAATCGAGAAAGTGTACGCATATTTATACTATGTTAGCGTTATTATTGGTTTAGAATACAGTATACAGTGGCTCGTTGAACTGCACTTTTCGTCGCTAGGCGTGGTCACAACTGTTGTGAGTAACTGACGATCGCTGGCTTGCAGATGGGGTGAGAAATTTGTTTTAGAAGTTTAAACTTCATTTTAAAATCACTTAATCGTTATGGGCTGACGTCAAATCAGCACGGAACGATGGAAGTGGATGGTTTTCAATTAGTTGATTACACCTTATTGTACTGTGAAATCGAATAATTAACTAAACTTGATTCGAGTATCGATTCATTGCGGGGAAAGATATTTCAGAGAAAACCCCAAAGCTGTCTTTTCGATTGAGATAAAGACGCGTTACGTTTCCTGGAATCTTTTATGACGATTTTTAAATTTTAAATGTCAGTTAATAATAACTAACTTTTTTTTTCATCCAAATAATGGTATATGGTTAGATTACATCACGGAGTTTATACAAATGTTGCTAAATCGTAGAATATATTGTAGATTATATTTGTGTTCAATAGGTAATGTGAAGCGATTTGATGTTGTAAAAAAAAAAAAAAAAACAATGATTTGTATAATGATTTCAAAAGAGAATGTGGTGATGAACATTTTGGAATCGGGTGCCGATTATATTCGATTTTATTTCGTATTGCGGTTCATAATTGTTAATAATTATTGAAAAATATTCAATTCGATATATTTCTTAGTGGTTTAGACCCCCTGATTTGATAAGAGACCGAGTTTTGTCGATGTAATTATTATTTAAGTCGAACAGTGAAATGTATACGACTAAATCAAGTGTCGCTTCGAACATTGAGTTTTTCGATTAAACTTTACCGAACTGCTATAACTTTTGATGTAAATTCGATATATACATATATATATACCATGATGCAATGTCTTGCTGGACTCAAATGCGTGTACTTTGTGTGGAATTGAAAACTTTGAAAATCGTCTTTGAAATTTATCGTCAGACGCCATGCCAATGTTGACCGTTGCAATTGCGCCGTTTTGATGAAACGCCAAATAACATTTACAGAGTTCTTTTCCGTTACGTCTATTCGACGCCACAATAAATTTATTTCATCCTTCTGCGTCTTCTGTATAAAAGTATCTCTCGCACGCTTGCTTCTTTACTACTTCCTACATTACCTTCCGTCATCAGTCCATTCTAAGGGGATTTTTTTTCAACAGCCATTTAGTACCGTTCAGGATTCCACCCCATTAAACAGCATTAAACTTCATCGGAGTCTTGCTTCTCCGTTTTTTCGATTTTAACGAATACATTCTCTAAAGGTTTTAATCCTCGAGAAGTATGCGGTAACTAGGTAATGAATTATCGCCCGAGTGAAAATTTTCTCGGCAAGAATTGCTAAACCACCGACAGGTGATGTACTTGTCGTCACGGGAGTAGCCCAGTGTTTTGCAGCGTTATACCGTGGTGTAATGAATTTAAATCGCATTTATTTGTCACGAACGTAGGTTAGCCTGATGATGACAGGCTACGCAAGTTTTATATTTCGGTTAAAACTTGTGAAAATAATTATAAATGTGTAAAAGGTATGACGTACCGTGTGATCGAAAAGTTGTTGTACATCAACGTTTTTGTTGAAAATATTCCTGACAAGATTAATGGAATAATAATTTTAATTGCTAAGAAACTGAACACGATGCGACTTAAAGATAATTTGACTTCGAATCATGGCGTTGACTGACATTCAACTTGTTCATCTTAGTCATGTATTGTTTTAGATCATTATTATTTATTTTATACTATAAGCCATCTTGTTATTCGTTAGATAATAACTGAGTCAATGTATAATTAAGTTTAATGTGAATATAATTATGGTTACTAGCTGTTATCCTCATGATTTTTAATCAAATGAGAGTAGAGTCGGAACGAACTGTACACTATACAAGTAAATATAATTACGTTAAAGTTAAACATTAAGACGAAGTGCGTTTAATAATTTTTGTATGTTACAACATGTACCTATAAACCTGTACAATATATTCGAATTAGTAAAATACTTAAGCGTAATTCGATATTTTCACATGATTATGTAATAAAGTTTAAATTTAAATTACTTCCCAACCACCAGTAACCAAGACTAAATATAGTATATTATTCTAATCTTGTTAAAGCTGAATGTTAAAATGTAAAAATGTTCAGGTTTATTTTTAGTTTAGGAAAATGTATTTTAAATTGTCAGTATATTTTATAAGGGGAAAGGTAGTTAAAAAAAGGTACCGGGTTTCGTAATGAAAACCAGCCATAAATACTACGATTTAAACGTGGAAATAATTTCAGAATTGATTAAGCTTTGCCCCAGTGTGTGGTGAAACAAAAATTGTCTCATGTTTAATTTTTTTTTTCTCCAAACCGCATAGTACGATACACAGCATCTTACAAAGAAAATGTCGAGCTCAATAGCATTTCTTTAGGAAACTAAAAAAGAAGAAGAAAACAACCAACGTCCGGCTGACTTTAACACCTTGTGTGGCATCACCATAACAACTTTACCGACTCCGTGTGCAATAATAATTAATTTTCCAGCAACACTGCTATCGATTTCAATTCCGCTACTGCGTTGATCGTATCTCGGAATTTCTTGTCGAGTTCAAAACAATCGTAGTCGCATTCATCCAAGGACTTACACTTTCGCACCGTTAATAAAATGACTTATTAATGCAACACAGGGCGTTATGATTTTACCAACCACAATACAGCAGTAACGCACTGCAAATTTCTAACCTCATCTAATCTTATCGTTTTCGAATTAATATCCGTACAATACACTCGCTATACAACATATGTACAATATCTATGTCGATACCGCGGTGAAATTGAAAATAATAATAATAATAATAATAATAATAATAATGTTCGTACCTTATGGTTTATTGATTATAATCAAGGACGTATTATGGCTAGCAAATTTTAAAGTTTCAAATATACTCGTAATACGCATTTAAAAACATCCGATTCTACTTTAAGAAAACCTTTCGGGGTGGGTCCGAACCCCTGTGGATACGGTCTTGAATGTAACAACTAAAATTTGATATGAAACCAAACATGCGATTATACAAAATTACATCAATATACTATAACACCAACTTTCGCTGAAAATCGTTATTCCACGACCATCATCATAATGTCCGGAGTTAATAATTTGTCGTTATACAAATTCATACGGATAGTTAAAATAAATACAACTAAGGACATTTTACATTCGGTACAGATATCTTATCAGAAATGTATCCCTTAAGGGATACAATTGTTATTGTTCTGTTGCAAAACGATTTTATGTCCTCAACTGAGTTGTTCTAAAATGGACTACATTATTTATAGTACTCACGACGTTATGCATGCTATAAACTGTATATTGCTGTGTATTTCCCGGGTGACATTCCTTAAACTCGTCGCTATACTCTAAAACCAAAAACAAAAAACAGATTTCAATCCCGAATTGAACGTTTATCGTCATTTATAATATGCGATGGTTAATTTGTTCGGGAGCGAAATTAATTTCCTGTTTGTTTCCACAGTGTAACCGCATTCATCGCTGGAGATTTTAATTTTAAGTACGCTCAAATCACGT